ATATGCAAGGCCCATCAAAAATTGTATCGATTACGCAACAGATGCAGCATATTCTACGCATATCTTTGTTACTTAAGATGAAACCGAATTATCGTTTTCTGGAAAGCGTATTAGTTATGCACTGAGCGATCATCTTGTTCGAAAGAATACCTCGCTCGGTAAGAAGTATGATACAATTTCACATATTTAGCGCGTGCAACATATGCCAACAACGTCGGCACTTTGCAAATGAGCCAGCTATGCTCTTATATTCTTACTAGTTACCTTCAGCTTTAAGACCCACCAGAAAGCACTTGCGTTTCAAATGTCGAGCAATTTGGCTGATGATAGTTGAAGATCTACTGACAAGTCTGGTTGGAACATGGGAATTAGTTATTTTGTTGAATGAATAAAATTGGCCCACCTCGCGACGGCTAAGTTCAGCCGATGATGAAACTAGTGCGGATAAATTTCTGATTGTGGACTAGTATGTACGTTCAGATTGAGACAAATAAATGTATACGAAATTCTCGCATGATTGTTTTGGACTTTCGTTGTCAGTTGATAGACGCCAAATTAAATTGGACACGTACGCAGACCGATACTAAGGTCGAGCAACTATAGCGCATTTTTTTTATCGAGCTCGTCGATTGCGCCAAAACGTTACCCGCAGCATCTGCACTTATATAATTTGGCTCACGGGAGGTCTGGTTTCGAGTGACAAATGGGCTTGCTTAAGCGTTTACAGGTTAGACCTATACTAATTAATGAAGTCTATCAATTACATCATCCGCACCATATTAAAGGTAGGACCATTGTTTGAGCAATAATCGGCAAACATCAATTATCAACGTTTTTTCCGACATCGCTAATGTATCCCTCGAAATATTAGTTTAGGGCTCCCCAGCAATGTTCAGAACCACTTCAACATTTGTCAAAGGCTACCTGCAATGATTCCAACGAATAGTAATGACTGCTTAGGAGTCCAAAAAGAATCCTATCTATTGGCAATGGTTGCCTGGAATATTAAGTAGCGATTGACTATGGTAAAAACGTCATCAAGGCAATGAGGCAAATCTAGTATTGTACCTTGGCGATGATGATAGTCACAAAAATATCTTGAGTATCTTCTCTCGCACGTGACAATGTCATGTTTTGTATAATGATAAGAAAAAATCAAGTGGTCTACCAATCAACCGCACTAAAATCGTCATTGTTTAATCTGCCAAGGTTTTCACCGTTACGATGTACAGCAATGTGCAAGCTTTGTCTGCTGCCCTTCTTTTATATCGGTCGGTGGTGGTCATTAAAGTATCGCTAAACAGAATTTATAATATGTAATATGTCACTCATGAGATAGAAAAGCACCTGAGTACTTAGTCTCACAGGAGAGAGATACAGAAGATAACTGAAGCAATAAAAAATGAAAAAGGGAAAATGAAAAGTGCTTTTTAATCATGAAAGTAACGCCTCATTAAAGGAGAATAGAAGTACATTAAATTATTGATAAAATGCCCCAGATGATGAGAAATAAAGAACTGCCCCACGTTCCGATTACTCAATTTAATGTGGTACACATATATCGAAATGATGCTTTAATGAAACACTAAAGTAATTACAATCACCGTTTGCACGCAAGGTGCTGATTCTTCTAACTTTCTTTACCTCTTAAACTCTCCACGTCCATCGTGCTGTCCATTAAGTTAAAACCCATTAACGGCGTCAACCGATCCCTTCAACAGCACTGAAGCGTCGCCGTCAGCACTGGGAAAGACATTAAATTAGTTTAATATGATTCAACCAGATGTAATGGATTCATGATAGTCTATGTACAGACTAAAATATACCAAAGTCACTATAATGAGCAAGCAGGAAGCCAATTCCTATCCTACTACTAAAACAACTATAGCAGCAGAACTTTTGTATCAAACACACCACAAAACAGTATAACACCACAAATACTAAAGACAGTAGCAAGAGCAGCATTAGCAAAAGGAGCAGTAGCATCAGCAGCAAAACATCAGCAACACCAGTACCGAAAAAAGCAATAGCAGAATGAAAACTTCAATATACATGACACCAGAAGCAGTGGCACCACCAACAACAACGGTAACATGAAAAACTCAATAGGAACATCATAAACAACAACGGCTACAGAAGCAGCGGTAGCAGCAACAACGACATGAGCGAAAACAAAAGTTACAGATATAGTAGCTTTGTTATTAGAAACAATACGAACAATAATAATTTGGTAAGAAAACACAGCAACAATAATGAAATTATAAGAAGGTAATACCATGAATCATAATGATATCAGCACCGATAGTCTATGTACATGGCCGAGGTCGATTTTAAAAAGATGCGCTCACATTTACTGAGCCATCTGCGTTTAAAATTGGTAGCAGATAGCGCAGCACGCCCGCGGAAGAACCACCTCCGCGGCTCTCCATACAGAGCTGGGGTCGAGCACAGCTGCACGATTAGAATTTAAATATGACTAAAGGCATGTTGAGTGTACCATCCTAACTTGAGTATACAAAGACGTGAGCATTTTTTCATGATTAGATTGACGGCAACAACAATCACGGAAGAGGTGCTGTCGATGGTTCGGCCGGTAAAACTTTCTTTTAAGCGGTGTCCCCATCTAGATTGTCCGGATAAATTTTTGGCATGGATGTATATTAAACTCCTCGAAAACTCGTTATTATCGCCATCAGTATCTCCGTCACCATTCACTTATTAAACTTTTATCTCCATCACCAGAACCACCGTTATTCAACACACGTATTGTCTTTAACAACTGTAAATCATAATTAATCTTAGGTATAGAAGCTGATGTCAGCTCTACGAACGGCAGGAACCTTTTTGAGGAATAAGATCGTACTTAGTAGTAAAGAATCGAAAAAATTCCTGTCATATGCATCGTCAACGCGACAACTTCGCTCGGTCATCTGAAGTCCAGCCAAGATGTAGTCTTGTTCGGTAGCAGCTGCAGAATGCATGAGGTACAAGAAGGCTTACGCTACCTTAAGTAAGGTAAAATACTTCCTAGCGGTCTCTCGACAGTACTTAAGTACGTTCTAGTGGGATTAAGCTGAAAAGGAGTAGATTTCATCTTGGAAGTAGTGGTATATTCCTTAATGACTAATTTTGAGCGTTAAAATATCGACGCGGTCAATCTGACCTATTAATCACAAGCATTTTCAAGTAAACCCGCTTCTTCAAGTTTCTGTCTCTTCTGAATTGATAATTCTGTTGCGTCGGTCATCCGCAAGTGTGGTGATGTGGCTGTACGATAAAACTTCTTTACATGATCGATTTTTGCCTCCTTTTAATAGCATTCATCCCGCTTAATGCCAGTAATAAACATTCTAACACGATATCAAGCCTTTGATCTATTTCCACTCTCGCATCAGTTTTCTACATAGATTCTACCATGATAAACATCTCTCGTAACTCAGTAAAATCTACGAAAGCTTGAGTCATTACAGCAGTAGATTTTGCGCTGATCAAAATAACAGGTTAAGATAGCTTATAATTAACAAGATTGAGTGAATAGCGATCCCATGTAAAAGTAGTAGGCTCGACCGTACAGGAATCGGATGATTCCTATGAAATCGAGAAATTGAAGTTGCCAAAACGTTTCGTTGAGTGCCTAATTATGTAACGGATAGACTTACATGAGCCAGGTTTTAGCACGCACGCCTTCTGGTACAATTATTCACAAGAAAGGCTTCGATAATTGTCAGCATACCTTACAAATTTATGAATACTCTTCTTTATATTGGCGCGGGTGACAAGGCCTCTCTCATTTTTAAATATATCGCCCATATATAGAAGCCACTAGCCCGGTAAGAGGTTCTTATCATGAGCAAAGCTAGAAAATTAATTGTTCACTTCAGCTGGAGGAAAATGCATGTTAAAACGAAAGCAGTGAGACTGAAAACCTTCCACACCTTTAATACACGCTCAAGAACGAATAGCACTTCTTAAATACTGTAGGAATTCATTGCGAAAATTTTAGAAATATTCACGAAGTCGCCTTGTGAGACCAAAAAAGTATTCTTCATTTTATTGCTTGTGACGATACTCTCGATGATTCTTTTGCCTTCATTATAAGGTCTACTGCCCTACTGTTTCTTGAATTTGAAGGGCCCGAGCGGATTCCGAAAGCCCACACTAGAGCTCAGTTTTAAGTTGTGAAACGCACCACTCCCAAGATTTTTGTCACTAAGATGGACAGACAGACATAAAACAGAACCTCTATAAGACGTTAATCCGTACATGTGTTCTACCAGATCAAGACTATATTCCTCGAATACATGATTGGCCCTCACATTGATGACTTCACGGAGTTGAAATGCCTCATTCAGAATTTTCCTTTAGCAAGGCTAACTGCTCGACTGCAAGAGACGGCTTGTTTAGCAAACTTAACATTACAAAAAGACTAAAAATTCAAGTTATCTATCTTTGAATACAATGGGTTTCCATAGATCCAAATTTTGTTAAAAAATTGGAAGGGCGCTGAGTCCCACTTCAGGACGTGTATGTATGTTCGTTGGCACTTATTTGTTTCATCTTTCAATTTGATGATGTTGTGCTCGACGGTCTTAGAGTTCATTTGATTTTGGAAAGTTGTACTCTCTGTGAAATTCGCATTGCGACTACCCGGATCGTCTGTTATAGATATAGAAAACATTTCTGAATGATGTAGACTTTGTTCCATTCAGCTAGGTAGTACCTCTACGGTACAGTCTTGAAACTATCTATCATCTTGGTATCAAGAATAGACTTTGTGAGTATTCCTTCCAATTCATCATCTTCGGTTGGAAAGATGACATTCTGGTGATCAGCGCCAGCCGTTTTGCTGGGAGATAGACGCAGAAGTTTACGGAATAGGTGACTAGAGGAGAACGATAGATAGCAAGGCAGGAGAGAGTTAATTAAGTGAAAGGCAGTAGACAAAAATCTTATCAACATCCTACTGCGTCAACGAGCGATTTGCTACAGGTTGTGGCCCAATGGCCGAAGCCACGGAAGCGACTACGAGACGCCAGGTGGCGTTGCCGCTTCTGGACGCGGATCGCCAGCACGAGTCCCACCGATGGGCCAAGTGCCCGCAGATGTCGATGTTTTGCTTGCTTGCGTAAGGAGCGAGGCGACTGAATATAAATTACTCTCCGCCCTCGTCGACTTGCCGGAGCGTCTGGCGAAGCTTTAGTCGTCGCAGCGCGTCCGCGATGAAGAGGAATGGATGCTCGGCGCTGTTAAAAGTGGCATGTTCTCTTACGCCCTTGGCGCAAACATGCGCGGTCGGCCGATGACCACTGATGCGCTTAAATCGCCGGAGCAGAATCCAGCAGCTTACCCGGTGCGATCACCAGCGCCGAATAATGTCGTGTCGATGTTTGCGTCCCTAGCATTATCGCGCGGACAAGCGCCACTCCAGCAACGAGTGCCCGCGCAAGCAGCAACACCAGCAGCAGGAGCCCAGCAGCAAGCGGGAGGGATGGACTACATCTCGATACCGACTGCGAGCCAGCAAAAGTTCTCGATCCAAAATTTCGACGGGACCGAGCTCTACCGAGGGCTGAGTAGTGTCCTTTTAGACTATGGACGTACATTCGTGCGCGCGATTAAGCTCTCCCGGTCGTCATGTGGCTTCCTCTGGTCGGAAGACGTGAAAGTCGGCCTGCTCAGCCATTTCTTGTCGGGGACAGCGGAACGCTACTCCCACAAGCAAGTGGACACGCAGTAAAAGCAACAACCGACGCTTGACTACGTCATGTGTCAGCTGTTGGCGAAGTTTAGGACGTCAATTACTGCTATCCAAGCGATGAAGCTTTTCATGACGAAGAAAGAGGCAAAGAGAACGTGGTTGGAGCATTTTCTCTACATGCTCGCCGTAAGCGACGCGCGCGGTAGAGCAAACTCGCTCGTCCTGGACAACATCGTCCATCACGCGTCGCCCGAGCTCATGAACGTGATGAGGGCCAAGTACGGCCCCACGCAATCCGACTTCCTGCATCACGCGAGGAGATGGCGCATATCTTGCAGTAGATCGATTATGGTAGTGGCGCGGTGGGACGCGAAGTCGTCGCAGCGCACTTTGACGCGCGATCGAAGAGGCGAACCTGCTCTAATTGTGAAAAGGTGGGGAACGTGCAGTGAAACTGCTGCGCTAATGACGCTGCGGTGGACTAAAAGCAGGGTGAAAGCAGTTCGAGGGGCGGGGCGCTGCTCACGCTGACGAAGATGCCCAATAAAGGCGCAGGAAGCAGAGGATCGCAGCCCGCGCCGACAAAGCATTAAGACTACGACGGAGGGAGCAGCATATCGCAATTTATGCTGAACAAAAATCCCGCGCGCTTAGGGAAGTGGCGCCGTGGCAAGAAGACTTGTGATTTCGTATTTGCGATCGGCGAAGCCGATAAGAGCGATCGAAGAGGCTGGATCTTAGACATAGGTGCTAGCCGCCACCTTGTGAGTGACGTGCAACACCTGATCGAGTCGAGATTGTGCAACGACGAGATTGCCATGGCAGACAGCGTGTCGCTCCAGCTGACAAAATACGGCAGCGTACGACTGAACGTCATCGCGAACGGAGCAGCGGCGACCGTGACGCTCACCGACGTCTACCTGGCGCCGAGCCAGGCAAAGAATATCGTTTCGTACAAGAAACGCAATTGTAAAGGGTTCGCGCTCGTGTTTGATGAAGACAAGCGCTCGCTCGCCCGGCGCAGTGACGGCGCTGTCGCTTTTGACTTAGCAATAAAAAGCAACGTGCTGTTAGTGCAAACCACGACAACAATTCGACAGGGGGGGAGATAGCGGCACCATTATAACGGCAGTCGAGTCAGGGGCAGCCGAGGACTTTGCAGCCGACGTCCAAGAGGGCACACTGCTACATTTCCACCAGCGGATGGCGCGCGACCCGGCGTCTGGCATACGTCTCACGAGCCACCTGCGCACGGCATGCGTGTCTTGCATGGAGTGCAAGCAGCCGCGTAACGCGCATCCGAAGCGAGACAGCGGCGAGACCGCGCCGATAGACCGCACGAGAGGCGTGATCTGTTCAGATCTGAAGGGCCTGATGACGCCTCAAGACCGGCTTATAAATCGATATTTGATTAACTTCGTTGATCATTAGAGCAACTACTGCAGGATCGTTCTCGCTTGGACATAGGAAGCCGCAGCGAAGCAATTTGAGGCGTTTCTAACGCACTTCGAGGAGCGATTCGACTGTGGGATCCATGTGCTCCGCAACGGCGGCGGCGACGTGTACGCCAACGTGGAACTTTTCTGCAAGCGCACCGGAGTGGCGCGGCAGATCTCGGAGGCGAGGGACAAATCGTTGAACGAGAAGGCGGAGCGTATGCGCCGCACGATTCTCAACCTCGCTCGAAGCATGATGTTCGCCTGCGCGCTTCCACTCAACTTCCGGGGCGACGCTGTGTTGTACGCGGTGTACGTGCTAAAAAGGAGCACAACTCGCTCAAACCCGAAGCGTGTGCCGCTGCTCGGAATGCTGACGGGTACTGCGCCTGACTTGCGGTAGATCGTCGTCTACGGGTCGCTATGCTACGTCTACCGCGACCCGCGTACAAACTCGCTGGTGCAGCGATCGCTGATCAGGACGATCGTCGAAATCAGCGACGAGATCAACGGGTACAAGGTCTGGCTAAGAAAAGCAGGCAATGTAGTCGTCACCCAGTATGTAAAAGAAATCGACAGGCTGTCTGAGGCTCAGAACGCGTAGCTGCAACGCGCAATGGGCAGCAAATACCGAGCCGACGCTGCGAAGGAGACAGCACTAGAGCTAGATGCACCAGTGGTGCCGAGTTATGGATTGTCTAAGGCGAAGAAGCCGTGGGCTCGACAAGCCCACGGCACGTGCGCAAGCAGAAGTCTCTCAGTCAAGAGGAGCCAGAAGCTGGTGAGGACGTCCGGAGTGCGGCGTTTGAACGTATCCAACAGAACTACGCTGAGGCCATGCGAAGCATCAAGCGAGACGGCTGGGTGAAATAGATGGAAGAAGGGGTAGCAGCTCTGCAGGACAACGACGTCTAAACAATCACGGAACGAGCGCCCGGTTGTAATGCTCTGCATACTAAATGGATGTACAAAACAAAGACAAATGCCGATGGCGAGCTGAAACGTCTTAAAACGCGACTCGTGGCCTGTGGGAATAAGCAAGTGCTCAGAGTCGATTACAAGCTCACGCTCGCAGTGTTGGACCTCTCGACCGTGGAGGTCATCCTCGCGCTTGCTACCACGAGAGGGGTGACTGCCAAGAATGGCGACGTCCCAACGCGTAAGTCAAGGTGGAAAAAGAGGCGCACTTGCGGATCTACCTTGATCTGTCGCTCGGTATGAGTGTGTCTAGTGCGACGCTACAAAAGTACGGCGCGGCAAGGTCAAATTAGCTCATGCTTGAGATCCGGTAGAGCCTGTACGAGCTGCGCGTATAAGGAGCCAGCTGCTCCACACCAAGCTATCGGACGCAAGTTTTCGGCGCTGCGAGAGCGACATGTTTTTTTTTTTGGAAGCGCGACGAGGCGGCTATTGTCGTCGTCGGAGTGTACGTCGATGACCTCCTTGCAACCGGGACGAGTGCCGCTGCGGATGATGGATTCTTCGCCAGCCTCGCATCGCTTTCAATTAAGGACTTGGGCCGAGTTAGCAAGTTTCCCGGGATGCGCGAGAATCCAAGCGACGACGGGGGGTATCGCCTGGACTAACAGGGGGCGATCGGCGACCTCCTGCGGAGCAATGGGCTTACATAAGCGAATGCTACGCTCCGATCGGAAAACATAGCAACGACGAGCAGGCACGCGGGGCCCCTCGGATCATTGAATGCGAATCTGGTACCGACAATGCGCGACTTTAAATCGCTGGTCGGTTCGCTCCTTTAGTTAGCGCGCTATACGCGCCCGGACATTGCCTTCACGGTCCATAAGGCGACGCGGCAGACTCACGCTCCGCGCGTGATCGACTAGAGTTTGGCGAAGCGCATCGCGCGCTATCTCAAGGGGACTGCGACGCAGAAGATCACGATGAAGCCATACCAAGATTACAACACAGCGCCGCGACTTGATGCGTTCAGTGACGCCGACTTTGCGGGCGACAGGGCTGACAAAAAGTCAATGACGGGCGGGGTGCTCCTACGAGATAGTATGCCGGTAAGCTGGGGCGCGCGCAAGCAGGGTGACGTGTCGCTGTCGACGATGGAGGCGGATCTTGTGCCTCCAGCGAGATCGCGCGGGAAATGCTAGGGGTGCGAGATACGCTTATGAAGATTGGGCTTGCGCTAGCGCTGCCCTTGCAGCTGCACGTCGACAACCAGGCGGCTAAAAGCCAGAGAGCTGGCGAAGCGTCGTCGTTGAAGGCAAAGCACGTGAACGTCCGCTAAAATCTCTTATGCGATTTCGCTCAACGTAAAATTATTGAAGCGCGCTACGTCAGGTCCGAGAAGATGTTCGCGGACCTGCTAAAGAAGGCAATGGACGGGAATAAGCTCAAACGTTGCACGAGCTTGTGAAGATCGCGTAGAAGATGGATGGCTTACAGAATGATGATGAGAGGTGAGAGAACGGAAGCGCACACGAAGAGGAGTGTTGGAAAGATGACATTCTGGCAATTAGCGCCAGCCGTTTTGCTGGGAGATAGGTGCAGAACGTGTACGGAATAGGTGACTAGAGGAGAACGATAGCTAGCAAGGCAGGAGAGAGTGAGCCAGTGAAAGGCAGTAGACAGAATCTCATCAACCTCCTACTGCGTCAACAAACGGTTTGCTGCATCTTCTTCGACCGCATTTTTATGACGTAAGGGATATTCGTGAGGCAAGTTCTGACGTCGGATAAATTCTCGTTATTAGTTTTAGTAAGAAATCAGTCTTGAGACAGTATAGACTGGCTGGGCAAACCATCCCGCATTCAGCCCCTTCTTATCCTGCCCAGAAGATTTCGGGATAGCTCAGACTCCGCATAAGTCATTAGTAGTAGTGACCCCTTTTTTGACCTGTTGTGCGCCTTGTAAAGAACAAGATCTAGGCCCTTTGTAAGTTGAAATTGTAAGTCGGATCTCTTAATGTAATATTAAGGGAATAGTTGGTGTCTACAAAGAAGATGAAGAAATAGAGCTGTTTTCTTTTTCCTCGTCATCCATAGTGAAAGCTATGGCACGTTCGGCTGTACTCTTTTTGATCCTCTTCACGGTGGTGCAAGAGGGACTTAACGAGATATCTGAGGTAGCAAGACCACCACTGCCACATTTTCTTCATTTCTATTCACCATTCTACCCAATATATTGCTTCCACCACAGTGAGCGATTGTTTCGTTGGAAGTGTAAATTTTTGACAGTCGGTATCGACCACAATTATCACTTCTTGTTGTCGAGGAAGAGCAGCTAAAGAGAGAAGAAGAAGATGAAAAAGAGGTGTCGAGTAAAAAGATTGGATGGTCTACAGCAGCGAACGAGTGGTTTTCAAGCGCAAGCCCGAAGGGTGAAGCTATCAGAGAGTGTGCGCAAGGTTGAATGCCGAGCTTTTAAATCGTACAATCTGTCTGTCTGTGTGTGTGTAAATAACGCGGTTAGGCGTACCTTACTGTTCTAAGTGCAATCAAGCCTGTCCCCCTTTATTGGTGTATACGCATATCTGAAGTCACTCTTTGGTTCTAGGTCACTATGCTGAAGCACGAACGTGAAAGGCTTAAAATTGATCAAAGGTAAATATGATAACATAAGCAAATGCTGGACGTCTCATAAGCACAGGCCGATCGCGTTGTCCAACCATACTGTACGGGGTTAAATATAGACTCTAGCAGGATTCAACTCATTCTTTATTCACTGCTGCTGTGGCATAGTATTTTGCAACTTGATTCAGTTCTATGAACTGGATTACTCAGATCAAAGGGTGAGCTCCAGAGCTTACTTCTCTATCTTAGTGACTGTCAGATGTTGTTCATGTTATAGAAACCAATACTTTTTCGGCGATTATAATCGTTGCTTGTAAGCCAATCTTTTGGTTCAGACCAGTGGCAGTAGTTGTAATTGGTTAAAATGATGGTTTCGACCATTGACAGTTTTGTAAGAGTGTCCTGACAATGAATTGTACCATACCTAGTGGTTGCCAAGGTGACTACACAATGGTATAAGGCAATGACAGTAGTTCTTAAGCACTGGTGGACCAGAATTGGCAATGGATACTTCGGAATAGAAATAATGAATGTGAACAATTTTGATCGTTTACGCAATGGTCCGACCTGTGAATAATTTCTAGTTCTATCAATTTACAAAATCGCTCGGTCGCTACCAAGTCACCACTCTCGCACGCGTCTGCATTCTCTTAAGAGTATGCTGGCTGATATCATTGCTCACACTGTGAGCAGTGTCCTACAAAAACATATCGTCATAAATTATTTACCACAATTTTACACTCCATGTGACATTCTTCAAGACATCCCGCAAGGTAAATTCCGTATCGGTACTTTTATGCTAGCAACAATGTCATGCAATTGACTCACCTTGCTACTTTTACAAAAGGCTTGCAGCCGACGATCACTGGTGCAATGAATCTCGTAGTACAAACAACCCGCCACAATACAAGTGCTGTTAGTACATGCACAGATTCTACAATACGAAGTTGCTGAGCTCTAATCTGTCACAAAAAGTCGATTCTAACGTTGTCTGCGAAGTGGTCGTTGATTTCTCGTAGCAACCGGGCCGTCGACTTTTACAAAGATGGCTGAAACGGGTTGCGGCGCGACAATCTTGTTGATGTTATCAACTTTACCTCCCATCCGGTGCTTACCGCAGCTTTGCAAATTCAAAGTCAACCTTACTGGATGCGATGGACCACTTTCAACAGTCGTTCCAGGGTCGCACGAAGCTTACTCAGCACGGAACGATGTTCTGCCGAGTACAACATCGTGGCGGCACTTCGTCCTAAAGACAGGTGCTCCAGAATGCTGCGTGAACTGTTTTTTTCTGCTGCTCCGAAAACTTGTTTGCCTCATTCTCTGCATTTGAAAATAAAATAGCCCATCCACAGACGTGTAGCCAATTTTTTGCTTGAATTCTGTCATCAATTCTAGGCGAACATCGTTCGCCTTGATGGTAGAGCAATAGAGAAGCTATAGCAAGGCTCGTTCTTTCTGTACATCTTAAGCTCCTTTGTACGTGAAATAGCTACAATATCAATCCACAACTTTCCTATGGCTGCAACTACCACAATAGTGCGAGTTTAAGCGTTTTTCCACAGCTCTGAATGTCAGTCGTGGCGCTATTGTCGTTCGATTGAGACGAGGTGGCCACGGCAGCGAGGAAGATCTATTATAAAAATTAACCAGCACTCAAACAAGTCGCGGACGAGGTCGAGTCAGACTAAATGGGCGCTATCTGCGCAAATACAACTATTGCTCGAATGACTGCGGTCATCAATGACGTGTACAGTAGCTGGGCTCGAAAGTGTGGTACAACGAACGCGGTAGACGAACAGGATTAACAACAACGCCACTATTACGGCCAGCTGAGAAGTTCTGGGATATCAAATAAGGTTATTTGATATACCACAAGCGGTTACAAGCAGGCATGATGACACGGCAAACTTTGCTCTTTGCTTGCTAAATAGCCTCGTCACCTGCATCAGCACGAGTCGGATCTCCGTATTTCAAGTCGCAAATATGCTAAAATACTTGAAGCTGCCAGTGTTGAAGCAAGTACATCGTCTCTCCGATTGAGCCGCGCATTGGAAGTACCGGCGACGACTAGAGGCACTGCATGCTAAAATAACGCGAGTAACTTTCGAACGCTAGCATCTCGCGCTGGTCATACTTGGCAAACGTGCCCTGGCGCCAGCGGAGACGCCGAAGTGCCTTTTTGAAACCTTGAATAAAGTGTCGTTATGGGAATGCAGCTGCCTGATCTGGCTTTTGTCGTGAGCTAGACAGTGGGTCCGAAGTCAGTCAACAACGACAACTATGCTGCCGTCAAGTTGATTGGTCGTCTTTATATTGTCGGGGTAGTTCGCTTGTCGCGTCATAGTTGCACGTATGCTTATCATGTTAGTGCACAATTGAAGGGACGCTCTATCCATTCCTCCGTGAGCAGATGGAGTCTGGATCGGAAGCACTTCCACCACTCCTGGCACGATAAGTGGGACATTGAACGCTCTCATCCAAACTGCTTCGAGACAGAGCCCGCCGCAGTCCGTGGCAAATGGTGCCGTGCTTGACAAACTCTCATCGACCAACACCACGAGTGCTTGCCCGTCTGCTGTGCACACCAGTCTAAAGTAAGCTTCGTACAATAGCACCATCAGATCGATGCCCGGACAAGCACCCCATTCATTAAATTCGTGTACTCGCACACCACCTGAGCTCTACTTGCTATCGAAATACTGCACACATCGCTTTCTGGTGTTATCGTCGCATCAGAACATCCTTGCACACTGAATACCTCAGCCACAAACCTCCAAACAATCAAGAGCAAGTCCAGCCCCCTTCCATACTAAACGAAACCACTGCGTACTGTCGTTAGACAGCCATATCGCGTGCATCCCACACGCCGTCCTGTCGTGGCTTCCCGTCGTTCTCGTCCAGAAGAATTACCGTATTTCCAAGTTCCGCGTGCGAAACTTGTGGATACTGTTCTCGGCCTCCCAAGACTATATTCTTACGGACCCCTGTCGCCACGCCTTTTGTCATCTTGATTTGTGCATGGGGCAAGTACACTTCCTCATTGTTGAACCACTTGCAGCTCACGTACTGCACTTTGCAGCCGTTATAGTGGATCATCTTCCCGACCGTCTTGTCTTCACCATAATCAAGTCCTTCAAGCTCGACATAAATCGGGTTGTCCAAAATGCACTTCATCACTGCACTCCCCACAAAGTACGAGCCTCCCGTGGCAAACACGTACGAGTTCGTGTTCGACACGTCACCAATATTCACGTGCATGTCGCCAGCATAGCACGAGTCCAAGTCCGTGCACCTCTGCAAGCACTCGTAATACTGCGGCCAGTAAATCACCGCTTCATCGTCCTGTTTCAAGAAGTGGTTGCCAGCGTCCATCTTTTGGATGTGACTCATGATCGTCACGGTTTTATTATGGAGATTCAAGTAACTGTCCACTCCAGCATGACGTACTACTCGGAGACTGGTTTCTAGAGCCAGTGGAATCGTCACATCTTGATGGGCAAACACAAGCGTCTCTGGACTTACAATCAAGCCAACAAAGTCCCAATTGGTCCTCTCGCATACAAACAACACACGCTGCGTCTGGTCTTGCAAGAGCGACTGGGCGCCTCGATATCCAATTTCAGTACGTGTATACTCCACAATTGGCAAGACCGCTGCTTGGAACCCTAATCGGACGCGGCAGAAAAAGAGCACTAATTGGGTGTAGTACCCGAGAATAAAGCCACCAATTAGCGCTCCCGCAATTAGCGCGGATAAAGGGATGGACGAGAATCGTCGAAATCGGGCGATCCGTTTTTTTTCTTTATGGAACGCGCTTGTCAGGCGTGAACGGGGAGATCGGGGAGAGTCGCAGAGTGCGTCGTGAGAATCGGACACACTGAAGCTGCTTGCATTGCGTGCACGGAGGTGCGCCGTTGGTAGTAACGGCGCCTCGTCCTCCCAGACCATGACGGGGGTTTAAATTTAAGACGTAAATGAGAGAGATGATGGGACGAATGGAATTAGAGTTAGGTCGATAGCGACTCACTGATGGACTGTATCGAGGGAATAGAGAGAGATTGGACGAGACAAATAGAGTCCCTTAATTTGAGGCCGTGAGGCGTCGAGTCGGGCTCAGTAGCCTCCCACGATGCGATGAAACTATGAAAGAGAATCGTGGCAAGTTTTCCGACTGGTCAAAACATAGCAGGAAGAGGTTGGGGAGAAGTCCAGAAAGACGCGTTCTCATGCTGTCTTCAACCATACTGGTTGGACGAATAGAAGTGGCCAATGGATTCCAACGTACTCTACTTGCTCTTCATCCGCATCTGTGACCGTCTTGTCCGCACCTGTACTTGGTCCTCACCGCCACCTCCCTTTTTTTTAAGTAGACCGGTTCAAGCCAATGCGGGTACGAACGTCCTGTCGCCGAGCCTCTTGTCTCGCAGCTATCGAGTCACTCGCTGCACCGGAAGGAGGAGAAGGCGGAAATGTCAAGACGGGAGGTTGCAGACGGCTGCTGGTGCTGCTGCTGGTGCTTTTCGCGTTCCGCTCCTTCTCCTGCAAGTACGACTCGTACTCGGCCGCTACGTCGGCTCGTTCCTCCACGCGTGTCGGGTGTCGTCTTAGCATTTTGTGCAAAACTGAGGGTAAAAAGCGGTTAATTTAGGTCATCAGATGTAGCCATGTAGCAAAACGCTCATTGTTTTACGACTGGACACTGCGTCAACATCAATGAACACGGAAAAAAGGGTTCGACTGCAAGGAATCTGGGTTTCGAGCTACCATCAGCCCAACACAGGGAAACATGACTCTGCAGGGTACAGGAAGTGTCACTACTTTCCTCACATTGGCTGCACAATAGTTCGTCGTTTTCGCTTGGAATGCGGACACTCATGTCGCTCGATGTTTGGAGGTCGATGGCACTCACTCACTCTGTGCAACCTAGAGTAGCCATGCTCCCTCATCTGTCAAAACATGCAACTGAGATACTTCCTAACAAAAGCGTGGCCTCGGGTGCCACTTCACACGGAGAGTGGTGTTTGCTCTGCTTGAGCGGGAATAAGCAAGCCTTGCCTGTGCGAGATGCAAGGTACGTCATCCGCACAAATGTTGAATGTCAACGACTAAAGAGGTATCGCGAAAGTCGCGCTGTAACGCTTGGAAGATCGTAACGCGTCGATAGTGAACGGAGACCAAGCGACGATTACGGTTGCACCCCTCGATTACGATCGAATTCTAACGGAAGCTTGACGAGAGCGTTCAAGAGGATCAACGAGGACTGCGTCGCATTGCAGTTGCTCGTGCAGTTGCTCGTTTTCCCAAGTGTAGAAAAATGTCGTCCACGTGAGCGTCCCGTCGCTCGATCAAAAGGCATCAGGGGCTCCGAGCTCAAGACCATGTAGACCGCTTTATGAGTGCTCGGGAAGAAAGGATACAAAGGAACGATCGAGTCTTCGTCGCCGCTAAAGTAGTTAGTCCACCTGTTGACGGTTGTTGCAGATAAATTGATCACCAAGCCATTATACAGTTACTGTAGTGATCGATCGTTCCGCGTTGGCCTCCTATTCGCTTGACACAAAATCTGTCCGCGCAAAAGAGCGCTTCGTGTCGTCCACATGTGCGTGTCGTTCATCCTGCCGTCCTTCTCGTGACAGCGACATGTGGTGGCGTTGTCGTTTTACCCTCGTCGTAACAAGAGCCATGGATGAGACGGGGAGAGCCTTGTCCGGTTCGAAGCAAGAGATCAACGAGGGCAGTATCCCGTCGCCCAAGGTCGCGCCTGTCGAGCATCGACTGGTCTTATTGACGTTCTACTGGACTGTGCAAAGAGCTCCTCGGCAGAGAGCTAGCTGGTTGGTATCAGTGGTAAAGAGATGGCTGCTCAGCAGTAGTGAGCGAGAGCTAGCGTACAGGTCTGCAAAGTAGCTTGTGAGGGAGACTACATGCATGTTGCATGACAGCGACCCAGCAATTTTTGTGTAGACAAGCGTGGCCGGACGCAACTCGCCACCCTGATTTCTTCGAGACCCACGAACGTTGAGGAGGGCGCTTACGCGCCTGCAGAAAGACGGTAGTAGTATCGTAGAGGTGAGCAACCGTAGATCCGCAACTCGACCATCCCCTTTTTCCGGTCCGCGTCGCTCGATAGTCCAGTTCTGGCACCGTTTTGTGATGTGCAGTGCTGACCAGACACGGACTTGCGTCTTTGACCAAGTAGTAGGTAATGCACGAGGCGCGGCAGCTGTTCGGACTTCAACATGGCAAAAGGACGATTGATGTCGTTCTTACCATAGATCGATACGGGATCAGTAACGCGATCGAATGCCATAAGATCATGCCAAAGTGGCATTTGCTTCCCCTTTACATCTCTGCTTTCGAGATGATGCTCTTCACGGCAGCAATTTATGCTGACACGAGTTTCAAGTGCGTGGATTCAAGGTCGACGAGTCCCACACACGCTTTTGTCGATAGTCTGGTCATTCATTAGCTAAGCGAGAGGACGCAAAGTTTGACACGCACGCCTATCTTATTGAGCAAAGACGTTGACTTCTCAAGGGCGGACCTCACTTCGACCAGACCTGATGCCTCCTGTCACGTCGCAGTATCGACCGTGCCCTTTTTCGGTGGAGGCAGTAATGAGCAAAAGAGCCCAAGAGTTGACACGATCACTCGCTGTTTATTCACAAAGAATACCTACACCATTGTAGGAGATTGACAGCGTGAGTGCACCTCTTCAAACGGCGCAGATGTAGCTAGCGGTCAGGAACGAAGCAACTAAGTAATGGTTTGCCTACATTCTCGGTGGACATCGCCTGCGCTGTCGACTGTGCCTGCTGTATAGGGTGTAGGGCGCAATACGAGAATAGATTCACCGGTAATCAGCAATCGGCATCATGCATACTGTGTGCAGACAGAACGTCATGCTATTTCAAGTGGCCAGTCAAAACACACGCCGCGTTTGCTACAAAGTCGAGCTCCGAGAGTCTAGTTCCATGCAGCAAGTCAATCTAAAGAAGCGTGGCAATACGGTCGAAGCTGAGCTCTGTGTTTGCAATACCCCACTTGTAGGAGAAAATATCTCTCAGCGATGGATCAAGCGATCCCAAAACACATGCAGAGTGCACGAAATTGGACGCAGCCATCTGGTCAGCTTGGTGGCTGCTAGACAACCGACCCGCCCACGCTATTCGGTACCGAAATGTCCAAGCGCTCGAATTCTACCGCGTACTTGTGCTCTTTTTACTATCCATCCACCCCCACCTTGCCTCTTAACGACAAGACACGTTACTCACGGTGATCTCGTCGCCAAGAGCGGACTCGAGCGTCTTTTCGTGTTGCTCCGTAGAAAGGCGTTCGCTGTCGAATCGCTCTGCACTTGTCCAAAGTATCACATGAGCTCTTTCGATGTCAAGGCTGGCTATCTAATCCCACCTGGTTTCTTATCCCAATTCATACTGGCACCGAGAGTTTGTCGTTGACGGGGAAAACGTGGGGGAAGGTCAAGTTCAGGGATAGGTAGGCATGTCTGTAGGCAGGATGGTTATAGGAGAGACACGAGGTCCAGAGCTCCCTCCCTCCGGCCACGGCGTCGGTCTCCTTCGCCTCAATCGTCACATGGCCATTTTCCGATTCACGATGTTCGGGTCATCCACCGCCACCACCACCACCACCATCCGAGCGCGTGTACCCTCCGCGAGTCTTAAGGGCAGCTTCAAACGCCTTGCAGTCGATCGTTCCCGTCAAGAGTCGTGCGATCGCAACCTTGAGCATGACGGGTACCAGTCGTCAATGCAACCGCGTGTTCGGCTATCCAACACCCGGTTGCTGGATCTAGCCCATGAAGCTTCGGACAAGGTGGACTTCCGTCGTCTCACGAATCGCCAAGCGTCGCTGCGCAATTGGAAGTGGAAGACCGTGGCCAATGCGTTCACGGCTTTTTCCCATGGCGATGGCTTCGAGTCAGCTCAAGAAGTGCTGGCTACAGGAGAGATGAAAGCCTCGTTGAACGAGTTGGCTCATATTCTGAGCACGGCCACGGATGTTGACCATGACATGATGATGCGGAGCGTGTACAAGGACTACATCCACGGCTCCGTCGTGCACGTCGTGGGTCCCTCGGTAAAGTCTGTCTCGACCTCGTCAGGTGTGAAAGCTGAGGTGGAATCCAAGCTAACAGTCAAGACCAGTGCTTTTGAGCGCTCCCGGATGTTCAAGAACCATGAACAATGGTGCTTTCTCGAGTACTTTGAGAAGATGAGCAGTGCGGACAGCTTCACGGTGACGCTAACGTCCGTGCCTGAAAGTGAGCTACTCGCTGGCAAGATGAAAGCGGACCGGGTGGACGAATTGCCAGACTTGACGGCGGCTTACCTGATTGAGAAGATTTCAGCGAGCAATCTCGTCCGCGTCGTGTTCTTCGCTCAAGCTTCGCTTCATGAACACGAGCCGCAGTTTGACCCTTTGAACTCGAGCTACAGTACGAACAGTGAGAGTCAGCGCGGCAGCCAACTCGCTTGGTCGAAGAAGCGCCAACAGCGCTTGATGCGGCTTGCTGCCGGAGCCAGTCAGCTTCCGGATGTTGTCCGTCGTCGCCGCTTTGGTACACAATTGCTCGCTGACTGCTCGGCTTTTGAAGCCAAGAATTCGCGCTGTACGTGTTGCGCCAAGTCACTGCGCTTTCTCACGCGCAAGAAACGCTGCCACGTCTGTGGGTATATTGTCTGCCATCAGTGCTGGAGCATCCATTCCATGGAGACCCGTGCTGGTCGCGTCTCGTCCGTGCGCGCTTGCAAGCGCTGTGTCGAGTTCGTGCACAACGGAGACTACTCGTGCGTGAACCAGCAAACTCGTGGACGGATTCAGATTGTTCCTGATTCACCGAGTCATCCATCGAGTGAGACTCCTGGAAAAGCATTGACCAACTTCTTGTACGACGCTCTACAGAACTCGACGGGAGACAAGCGCAAGTCGGTCATGTCTGTGGTTCGTCATTTGATGAATCAGGAGAAAGAGGAGGCTGAAAGCCGCTCCGAGTGCTCGTCACCGAGACGTTTGACGGACAAAGATGCAAAGAAATACGCTAACGCGCTGCACAATGGAATGCTGCACGTTGAGCCGCTTCCACTGGATGAATGTGTGCTTGCGACGGTTGAAGGTCGCAATTACCCGCTGAATATGGCACGTGATGCCGGGACGTTGAGTAAAACACCAATGCCGAAAGACGAGCAGCTTCGGATTGCTGCTATTGAGCGAGGCGGGTTTTCCAAGATCACGGACACGGACGAGCTCGATCTGATCTGTGAGCTGGTTGCACGTGAAATGAAGTGCTCGACGAGTATCGTGACACTGGTCTGTGAGGACGAGCAGCATGTACTGGCCTCGAATTTCCTGCCATTCCGGCAGCTGCATATGCCGCGCGAGCAGTCTTTCTGTCAACACACGATCATGAATACGGAGCCACTGCTGGTCCCGCATCCCGAGTCGGACATCCGATTCCAGAATTTGCCGGCACTTCTCGCCCACGAAATGCGATTTTACCTCGGGTTTCCTCTCAAGGACGAGAACAACCAAGTGGTGGGTTCCGTATGCTGCATTGACGGCACGTCCCGCGACGTGTCTGCGTCTCAGTACTCGGCAATGAAGAAACTTGCTGAGACGGCGTCCAAGGTGGTGCAAATCAAGGGAAAGCAGATTCGGATGGCCGACTTGAAGACAGCCACTGCCTAAGTTGCGAGTAATGCGTTCTTGAGTAGCGAGGATGTGGAATACATTTGTACACTTTGACCCTATTTGCCACGTATGAGATGATGTTTTTTTCGTGCTTTCTCCAAGCGTTGACATGTCCGAACAATTTAGCGGCGTTTGTCGTTCCTTGGTGTGATAGCAGACTTGAACGCTTTACTGGTAATGTTCACTGCACACTTAGCGTCCCGGCACTCGGAAGTGATCCCTTCTAAATGGGTGATTCTCGCGCTACCGGATCCCCTGCAGTCGAAGCCGTTTACTCCCCATTCGAACCTGTCGACAACTCTGCGGATTCTGTTAGCTTCATCAACTATTCTACGTGCGTGACCGCCAACCGTTGATGGCGCCGCTCGTTCGCAGGGTACCGACTCACCGACGACAGATCCTAGCCACAGTACCAGTTACAAGGATGCAGTTTGTCAGGGCCACTTGTGCTGGGGCTCCCGACGAGCCTCAACAGGTCTGGATCAGGGCTGCTACTCGCCAATGGACGATCAAGTTGGACGATGGCCTCCACTGACGATCGGGGTTGACGTAGATCTATTTCTCTCCAGGTTCGTATGCCACGGTATATCTCCAAGAAGATGCTTACTTTCCAACTGCTAGAGGATACGGGGAATTCCCCATCAGGTGCTCTTCTCGTTCACGAGCTTGTGCGAACGGCGAAACGTACGAGCTATGAGTCTACCACGCGTCAACTCACTTTCACTCTCGCAGATCGAGCAGCGGCTATCAGTTGGCATTCTAAACCTACTCAAGTCGCGGCACGTGCCCACGCCTTCAATGCCCTTCGATATTGGAACGTGAAGACTGTCCACTCAACGCTTCCAGCGCGTTACCATCAGACCGCGACCAATTGTTTTTTCAATTATGGGTTCTAGCTACGGGGGTCTCCGCAGGAGCCATAGAGACAATCCTGTCAGCCAGTGTGGCTTGCGCTGCGCTGTCGTATCGATTTCCTGCACTCCACACGCGGCGACCGACGTCTGTGACTCGATTTTTGGCTGCCCATAATTCTCGGGAGTGCCCTGTGCCGCTTAAGGGTGTCACGCATATTCGGCGCATGGCATTTCTCTTTAATCACACCACTATCGACATTTCCTGCGGGTTCCGCGTTTTGGCTGCTATTCGCCGACTCACACGATCTCGAAGTGTCCTCGTTCCGGGGGCTCCACTCAACACGAGCACCACCACACGTTTTCCGCGCCGACGCATTGCGTGCAACACGTACCGACATCAATTATCGATCACCTAGATGTCAGGGTCGACTTGAACAAATTCGTCTGATTTCTTCTAATTTACAAGGCACGAAAACTAAACTGATCGAAGTGGCACGAAAAAGTCGACTCTTCTCGTGCGTCTTCCCAACCCCCACCTCTCGAAGGGTCCACAAACAGGGGGCCACTCCAGTCGTCCGAACCAAGTCTCCCTCGGGATGGTTCAGTCTCCCTTGCGCGTACCCGTCGGTCCTGCTAACTGCCCTAGTACCGTTGACTATTTTGATCCTGGGGACAACAAGCGAGCGAAGCGGAAGAAACAGTCGCCTTTAACCTCCGCGAGCAGGTAGGTGACGAAGCCATCCACCTTTTCTGCAGCAACAACACCAGATCCGGCTTGTTCGGAGTAGATGTTTTTGTCTGCTGCGGAGCTTGTTCATACGGGAAGTTGCAGAGAGCTCCCTTGTTAAATGCAAAGTTGTTAACATGTGTTTGAATACCATTCTACAATACGCAAATGATTGATTTGTTGAATTAGGAAAACCCTTAGTACGCCATTTCGCCATTTCATTCGCATAATCACAATGTTTGTTATGCGAAACTTTTTTACGTTATTTAATCATGTGACATTATATCTCAACGCGTAGTGTATTTTAGCTTTCTCACTTATAGTAAGTTTGTGGGAAGTATTTAGAGCATCTTTCTTAAATTCAGACCATTCCAGCCAAACCGATTTTTGCAGCCCGATACCTTACGTTTTTATTTATGCAAGTTAATTGTTTGAGTTTAAACTATTGCCTACGCGAGCGCATGCGCATGCTTAATATTACAGTAAAGCTAGATCCAGAAATATAAATAATTTGGCCGTTATAGTTTTATATTAAGCAGAACCTTACGTGTTTTTTTACGGGAATCAGGTTTTAGACATAGTACAATAACATTCCTTTGTAAAAAATGGTTTTTGTTCGGCTAGATGAGCGGGCGATTGCTGGGAAGACTTACTGCCGAATTATTGCCAACGTTGGGATCGTCGTGCATATAGTTGTCGAAGTTTGGTAAGTTTCTCTCGATGAGTGTCAATTCGTCTAAGTTTCATAATTTAATGCAGTCACTCAGCTTTAAATATATAATCTTATGGTCGATGAGTTTTTTTCTGAGCGCGGAAATCGTCGTCGCCATACTGAATATAATGGCGCTGTTGCGGCTAAGATCGGGTCAATTTCTTGCCATCAACCAACCAGTACTGCAATACGACCTTGGCCTTTTTGTTCAGTATGATTGAAATGTGTCGATTTCCCCTCCTTTCCTTTTCACCGCAATTATCAAGCGCTCCACTGAATGATTATCGTTCGCGTTCGTGTTTTATCGAATGAATCACGGGGATGATCGTCAACAGTAATATCAATCAGGACGTCTTTCATTTATAAGCAATTGCCCCTCGGTAGTCCCTGTCCAGTTGAACGCCATCGTTAAGATTATCGACATCTTCGTCAAGCTGGCTATAGAATAGAATAGCGGCGTATTATTGAGTACGGCTACGGATGCTATTCTTGCTACACTAAAGCCAGTCTAAATTAGATTTCCGTAAATTAACAATCTGATTGGGACTTATTTTGACGAATCTCTACTATTCAATAAATGATTACAATACCAGTCCCCATGATTTTTAATTTACCTCCTGTAATGAGGAATTGAGATCAACTCTCAATATATAAGCTCAAGCAAGCTTGCGAAAGCAGACAACACGTTATTGCTTTGGAAGACCCCCCCTCGCTACCGCTACATCATCTCTATGTACGAGAACCAAAAGATCATTGCCGACAAGACAAAACGGATGATGGGCGTGCCAGCGAGCGGTATCCAAGTCAATTTATTGTTCGTCTCAATGTGCAAGAATGTAGTGCCTGGGGTTCTTTCTACTGAGCTCGATGTTCTCGTTCCTAGCAGTAAGGTAGGCGTGTCAATTTTGCACGATTCAGAATGTGGCGGACAAGCGATAACTTTAAAGCTTGCGTATCATGACATCAGACTTTGTGATAAGATCATCATGGAGCAAGAAGTCGATTATTTTATCTACCACGTCATGTTTTGGTTGCTGAAATTGGTTACTTGGAATAGCGTTCATCATCGCGAGCGCGCTATGCATGGGATGATCATCTTTTGTTTGTCAAGCACAAGATCAGTCCACGTAAATTTGGGCTATACGCGGTAGTTGATCCAGGAGAATTTGCCAAAAAGCTACAGTGTTCACTGATCACTCACCGTCTTCCGTTTAATTTTTTTCGACTTTCTAGCATAGGCGTCATCAAAGCTCTAGTCACAGCGGAAGCAGAAAATGTAATTCCATCTGATTGTGCTGCCCAATGTTACGAAAACAAAAGTGCCTCATTACGGCTTATAAGCGTCGAATATCTTGCTGAACCGTCTGATTGACAATAATCATGCTAGTCTTGTCCCTCATCCGGTACAGAGTGCAAAAATAAATTCCAGGGGGTCTTCATGTTGTTGCATCCAGAATGTTTAAAGTGTCCCGGAGTAGTTTCTGTGCATAGGAGGGGAGATCTTAAGATGCTCCTGAATTACGTCAACCCGTCTTCGGCTTGCTCTGTAGCAATTACGCTTGATCTGGCTCGCAGGTTCTCGGCCACATCGTTATGACCGGTATAATAACCACCGCCTGCTCAGCGGAGTAACTAAAAACACGATGGGCATTTACAGAATCTCGATAGTGAAGCAGGCAAATATGGGATATCAGTCCTTTCGATATAGCGTTATCCACAGTCGGGTTTCCTTGAATCAACAGGTTGCCAGATGATTCTGTTCGGATCTTGCAGTGAAGAAAGCAGTTTTGGATGATTCTCGGTTGACATCGGGAGCATAAGTTCTGCAAACTAAATGACGTGGAGGACGATGGTTCGCTCCGGCTGATCGACCTTGTCATGGAGGAAATTAAAAAGGGAAGTTTGAAGCTGCGTCTATAGTGGGTTTTGAAACAACAAACCGTGCCTTATTTACACGATTAAATTTTCGAAGTGATGTTAAGAGGTAAGTTAAAGATTGTGATTGTATATAGAGGGATCTTAGAATGACTCACGTTGACAGGAATATGAGCGCTTCAATTTATGACCAAAGCACGCTAAGATTCCACATTTGGACGTTGAAGGTATTCAGCCATTCAAGAAAGAGTATTCTGCGCCACGTACGTCTTAGCATTGTTTCGGGACTCACATCCCATGTTATGCGAAAAATGTTTTTTTGAAACATCTGGAATCGGGTACCTCCCGATTATACAGAGACAAAGCTTGAGCCTGCCGTCTCCATTTACTTATAAAGGAATATTTTTAAGTCCCTTGTTCTGTTTACTTTTTTCAATTTTTCGTGCCTCTAGATAGTCATCTAATTGGTAACCAATAATCAAAATTAATTACAAGGCAAGCGCTAAAATTTCAATCACGTTCTTTAGCACCCACCAGAATACGAAAGGAAAGGCTGATCTCATTTATGTTGTAAATTACTTTTATCTGCAACGATCAAGGATTGCCATAGGGGTAGCATTTTGTTGGCGATTACGTCCGCGTTTACGCTGACACTGTCTCCAAACCAGCTTTACGATCAAACACCATGACACTTTTTTATAATTTCTAGCCAACCATTGGAGAATTTTAATCGACCGTGTTCTGCGCAAAGACGGACGAGAAATTTCCCGGCAGCCACGCACATAAGGTCACCGCTCACTTTTGCTCACTCCCAATGACATTTTGGTCA